GGCTAACTAACTAATATCCGTAATAATGTAAAGGCATAAGCATGGCACGCAGGCCGAAAAGGGAAAATATCTACTTCTACGTTCCAAGTTCTAGCGTGCTCCAGTGACTTATTCTTCTGTGCCTGAAAGCCAAATATATCTGTTCAGCGAGAGATGCTGGTAACCCACTCCAACGCGTTGAAATATAATACATATAGAGATATATATAGATATACGAAAACCATTTTGAGCATGAAGATATATCCTACGAACTGTAGCTTTAAAACCGGGAATGACTCGACAGGTAAGGCCAGACACAAGCAACAGTTATAACGAGCATATGCAGTTCACAACAGATAAGGCAGATAAGGCAAAGCATAAACAATGATCATAACCCAACGTAAACAATCCCCAATGTTAGGAATAAATTGTAATAGATTTTGATAAGCCATATTGTAATTCGTAGATCCCCAATTTTATTTTATTAGACTAGTCGAGTCTTAGACCAAGAAAGGGAAAAATAAATTCATTAGTTGAGGAAATGGATGAAGAAGATATCAAGCCAAAAATCAAGAATTTGTCAAGAGAAAATGGCAAACAGAAGAGGAAGATGTATGCGTATGAAATTTGAGAAAATCCCTCAAGAAATCCCGAAGAAGAAAGAACGTGACTTGAAGTTTGCATGAAGCTATCTTGAAGATCAAGCATCTATGGAAAGAAAGGAGTACACCAAGTGGAATAAGAAGATAACCAATAGGTTGTACGGATAAGATGGTAAAAGCTTGAAATATTATGTGCAAGGTCACAGGTTCAAATCCCACATCCCACATATTTTAAAGAAGCCAAGTTAAAATTCCATCTGATCCCACATATTTTAAAGAAGCCAAGTTAAAATTCCATCTGATCAAGTAAGAGGCGATGGTTTGGCCGAAGGGATACAATTTGCAAGTCAATGGGATGAGATTTCAAGGGATGCAATTTGCAAAGTCAAAGGGAATGAGATTTCCAAATTGACTAAGGGATGAAGTTTACAAGTAAAGGGATGCAGTTTCTCAAATTGGAACCCCGAAATTGAAATAGGGATGCAATTTCATCAGAAGAATTGATTTACAAGGCTTCAATTCAATTGGAGAAATAGATTGCAAGGGATGAGATTGCAATTCCAAATCAAGTAAGGGATGAGAATTCAATTGACAAATCTAGCAAGGGATAGAGATTTCATTTCCCAAAATAGAAAGGGAGATTTCCAAGTCAATTGAAGAGATGAAGTCTAGAAGCAGTCTACAGACCCAGACACGCGAAGTACAGAGGAAGATATTAGAAGAAGTTGCAGAAGCAAAAATACTAGTCTAACTAGTAAGGGATTATATTGGAGAATATATTTTGAAGATAAAAATCCCAAGAGGCGTGATCTACACCAGATGGAGATTCATGGGACGCCATTTTTGCTGAAACCTCAAGCTCAATTTGAAATATCTGACAAGATCTGCAACGTTATCTTATCTTCTGACAAAAGGCTATACAGCTAAGCAAAATTCGAAAATGAGACCGTTTCTTTCCAACGGACGGATTCTCATTACCAGCTATAAATAGATGAAGATTGAAGCTGAGGAAAGGAGAAACAAGAATACAAAGAGCAAAGAACAGAGCTAAACAGAGCATAAAAATTCAAAGAAAGCTTTCCATCTCAGAAGCTTAAATTGATATATCTTTTGTGAGATAAACACTCAGAGTGATACAGAGCTTAGAAAAGAAATATCCAAGAGTGTTGAAATCTTCATCAACTTCAAGAGATTCAGCGCATCAACGAAGATCATCTACAGAATCTCAAAGTTGGAAGCAAGGCAAAACTTGTTTTGGAGCAAAACAAGGGAAAGGAGGAAAGTAACACGGAGTTGTGAAATCCTGGATTGTCACACGGAGTTGTGAGATCCGAAGCAGCAGTGTCGGGAAGACATTGGGCGTGATTGGTGTGGGCTTGGTGATCAAAGCACCAGATCACGGAAGATACGTTTCTACCAGATCGTAGAAGACGGGGGGAAAGTAGCACGGAGTTGTGAAATCCTGGGAAAGTAACGCGGCGACGTGAAACCCGAAGCAGCAGTGTCGGAGGCACTGGGCGTGATTAGTGTGGGCTTGGTGATCAAAGCACTAGATCACGGAATTTCATTGTATCTTGGAACCAAGAAGTGGTGGATATAGTGAATTGGCTCTTGGAGAAAAGAGCAAGTGGAGTAGGAGGATTACATCACCTCGCGAACCACTATAAATTGCCTTGGGTTCTTTACTGCTTTCTTTACTTACTGCTCTTGCTTGCTTCTCACGTCAATAATCTTGACACGATCTACACACACACCGTATCGTTTATTTAATTCCGCTGTGCACCTGACTCTAACAATCTAGTTAAGAGTCTTGGTTTATCTCTGGCTTACCTTTTGTTATATTGTGCGAAAAAGTTTGAAAGTCTATTCACCCCCCCCCCCCCTCTAGACTTTCACCTTACCTCTTTTTGGACCAACAATTGGTATCAGAGCCGGTGCCTATCCGAGTCAGAATTTGTCTCTAATCGATACTAACAATAGGTATCAAGGCCTGTAGCCTATTTGAGTCAATTAGTATCAAGAGCAGGTTGCCTAATTGGGTCAACCTTGTTTCTGACTGCTAGGCAGATCCATCTTACCCAGTGTGTGTAAATTGGATTATTTGTCTCTCGTATCCACCGAGAAGATGAATAAAGATTTAGCTCAAAATCTATTATTCTCGCTTGATAAATTTGATGATTGGAAAGTTCGTATGCAGGTTCATCTATCTGCTTTACATGATGAAATGTGGGAAGTTATCTCCAACGGACCGATCGAAATATTGAAAGTGAATACGGCTTTTCTTCTATCACCGGATGCTCAACAATTCATACCAAAGCCAAAACCGGAATGGACGCCGGATGATAGAAAAAGGATCAATCTTGACAACATTGCCAAAGATATTCTGTTCAAAGCCATTGATGATACAATATTCCCAAAGGTTCGAAAATGTACAAGTGCAAAAGAAATTTGGGATACTCTCATCAAGATCGGAGAAGGAGATGAACAAGAAAAAGATAATAAGCTCACTATTGCTATGAAGAAGTTCGAGGACTTCAAAATGCTCTCGAACGAATCCATTGTTGATATGGAAGCTCGAATGATCAAAATCCTTGGAGAAATTAATGACCTTGGCAAAAATATTAACCAAAAGGAAATTAATCTCAAAGTTCTACGAGGCTTACCATCTACTTGGGATATGAAGGTTACGGCTATGCGAGATCACCGAGATCTAAGAATATTGTCAACCGACAAATTATTTAGTGATCTTAAAGCATATGAGTTCGAAATGAAGGCCAAAGATGATGAAGTTCATGAAATTCGAAATCCAGCTCTAATGGCCGAACAACCGTCAACCTCCAGGTCAGTAGATAATATTGATTTTATAACTGACGAACAATCTGCTCTTTTTGTGAAAAAGTTTAGAAGATTTATGCGAAGAGGAGACAACAAAAATTCTGCTCGTGGAAAATTCGTCTCTCGCACGACACAAGAAGAGAAAGTCGAAGAAAACAACAATTTATGCTACAATTGCCGCAAACCCGGACATTTCAAAATAAATTGTCCGTATCCGATTGTTAGCAAGTATCAAGGCATAAATGTTGAATCTACACCGAATAAATCCGAAAGCAAAGATCGAATGTTCAAGCGCGACAAAAGAAAAGCTCTCGTTAGCAATGAACCAAATGAAAATGATGAGTCGAATGGATTGTCATCAAGTGATGAAAGCTCAAGTTCGGAAGATGACACGACTCTAATATGCAAATCAATTGAGTTGAGTTCAAGTGAAGAGTGCTTTATGGCTCTTGGAGCAGAGGAAGAAGAGGTAACATCTAATTCTTTCAATTCTGTTAATTCCTCTTTTTCTCGTGAATCTATTGGCAGTCTAATGCGAGATTGTCAAGAGATTATGCTCACTCATCCTCAACTCAAGGAGCGCAATAAAATTCTAATTCTTGAAAAAGAAGAGATGAATAAAAAATTGCAAGATGCTTTACTTGAAGTGAGTAACTTGAAGAGTGAAAATATTCAACTTCAAGAAGAGTGTAAATCAAGAGAGGTTAGTGAACATAACCTTCGGGCTACCATCGCTACGTTTACTAACTCGTCCAAAATTATGGATAAAATGGTAAACATGCAAAAGCCATCAGGAGATAGAACCGGAATCGGTTATGACTCCACATGTTCTCAAACCCCTCAAAATCTGACTAATCTTACTACTCCTTTAACCAATAAAGTGCAAGTAGTAAAGTTTGTTAAAAGTCAGTATAGCACAATGAGACAAGGACTTGGCTATCATGAGAAAGCAAAGTTGAATGTTGATAGGCCGAAACAGTTCAATAACACGGTAAAACAACAAAAATTCTTCAAGCAAAGATATGCCAAAGAGTCAAGTGCAAAAAGAATTTTTAGAAAAGAGGGAAGCTTTTCTAGAAATAGAGATGGAAGATTTTATTCCACTCAAAAGGATTGGTTGTGTAAATCTTGTTTAAATGCTTCTTATAGACCAAAGCAACAATCCTCTTCCCAGGTGCCTAGATATAAAAATATTTTTCAAAACCCGACGCCAAAAATGTTTTCAAATGTTAATTATGATTATCGTGTTTCAAATGGTTACAAACCGCCTTATCTTAATTCAATAGGATCAAGGTGGGTTTGGTTACCAAAAATTACTAACAGCAAAGGACCCAAGCAAGTATGGATACCTAAAACCAACTAATCTTTTTTGTAGGATGTTTGGTACATCGACAGTGGTTGCTCACGCCACATGACTAGAAATAAATCTTGTCTAGTGAATTTCAAGAAAATCGATGGACCAAAAGTTATATTTGGAGGAAATCAAAATTATGGAACTACAAAAGGAGTTGGTACAATTGAAAGAAATGGTTTGAAGATCGAAGATGTTTCATTTGTTGAAGGCCTAAAATTCAATTTGTTGAGCACTAGTCAATTTTATGACAAAGGCTATCTTGTGGAATTTTCCAAAGATAAGTGCCTAATCAAAAATGAGCTCTCAAATGAAGTTGTGCTCACTGGAAAAAGGCGAAAGAATATGTATGTTGTAGATTGGAGCACAAGCAAAGATTCAGTATGCTTAATGGCCAGAAATTCGAATGAAGCAAATTGGGAATGGCACAAAAAGCTCAACCATTTAAACTTCAAGACCATCAATCAGCTTGCAAAGAAAAATCTAGTTGAAGGATTACCAAGTATCATCTTCAAGAAAGACCAAGTGTGTGATGCATGCCAACGCGGAAAGCAAATCAAATCATCATTCAAGTCTAAGATGCACGAATCAACATCAAGACCGCTAAGCTTGCTACACATGGACTTATTTGGACCGGTTGATCCAATAAGTGTAAGTGGTAAGAAATATACTCTTGTCGTTGTTGATGATTTTTCCAGGTACACTTGGACCGTGTTTCTCAAGAAGAAAAATGAAGTTGAACAAGTGTTGCCGAAGCTGTTGAAGCAACTACAAAATGAGAAAGAACTGCAAATATCAAAAATCCGAACCGATCGTGGAACCGAGTTCGTGAATGGAGTTATACAAGCTTTTTGCAATTCACATGGAATTTCTCATCAATTATCTGCCTCTAGAACACCACAACAAAACGTTGTTGCCGAAAGAAGAAACCGGACGCTTAAAGAAGCCGCACGAGTGATGATTAGTGCAGCCGGTCTCCCGAAAAGATATTGGGCGGAAGCTATCAACACTGCTTGCTATACGCAAAATCGAAGCATGATCCATAAGCAGTATAGCAAGACGCCATATGAGCTATATAAAGGGAGAAAACCAAATATTGGTTATTTTCATATTTTTGGATGCAAGTGTTTATTCATATTAATGATAAATTGCATCTAAAAGCTTTTGATGAGCGTGCAGATGAAGGAATTTTTCTAGGATATTCGACTACCAGCCAAGCATTCAGAGTGTTGAACAAAAGAACAATGGTGGTTGAAGAATCCATACACGTGGTATTTGATGAAAAATCACACGTCAATATTGATGCTCTGGACGAAAATGGCGAAAATATTGAGCAAAATGGTAACAAGTGTCATATTGATTTTTGTGATACTGATGATACGTGTGAAGAAAATATTTTGCAGGGAATGGATGAGTTGGAAATTAATTCTCTAGAAAATCCCATCTCTCATCCAGTAAGAAATGAAGTGCAGGATGCAATTGGTATTGAACTTGCAAATCAACCCAGGGATGCAACTGGCATTGAAATTGCAAATCAACCCAGGGATGAAGTTGAAGTGGAAATTGCAAATCAGCCCTTGGATGCAATTACTGGAGAAGTAGGAAATTTAGAGAATGAAGCAGAAATTCGAACCAGTGCTACCACTTCTCAGTCAGTAAATCCACCCAGTACCATGCACCCATTTGAACCAGACTTAAGATGGCTCAAAAATCACCCACCAGAATTAGTGATCGGAAATGTTCGAGATGGCGTGAAAACAAGATCATCTACCATGGAAGCATTGTTCACATGTTATCTATCACAGATTGAACCAAAAGGAGTGGACGAAGCTCTAAATGATCCAAGTTGGATTGACGCCATGCAAGAGGAACTCGATCAATTCAAAAGAAATGATGTTTGGGAACTTGTTCCAAGACCAATGAACCACAATGTTGTAGGAACTAAATGGGTCTTCCGGAACAAAGCAAACGAAGAAGGCGTGATTGTTAGGAATAAAGCAAAGCTCGTTGCAAAAGGATACTCTCAAGAAGAAGGAATAGATTTTGATGAAACCTTTGCACCGGTAGCCAGACTCGAAGCTATAAGGATTTTCCTAGCCTACGCCGCACACAAAGATTTCACTGTTTATCAAATGGACGTGAAAAGCGCATTCTTGAATGGTCTACTCGAAGAAGAAGTTTATGTCGAACAACCCCCAGGTTTTGAGGTAAAAGGCGAAGGTGATAAAGTCTACAAACTTAAAAAGGCATTGTATGGGTTGAAACAAGCACCTAGAGCTTGGTATGATACCTTGTCAATGTTCTTAATAAGCTGTGGATTCACCAAAGGCCTTGTTGACAAAACTCTATTTAGAATTCAAGATGGTGATCATATTTTATTAGTACAAATATATGTTGATGATATTATTTTTGGAAGCACTAACAATTCTTTGTGTGAGAAATTTTCGAAGCTTATGCAGAATAAATTCGAAATGAGCATGATGGGTGAATTGAATTATTTCTTGGCTTACAAGTCAAACAATTGAAGGAAGGAATATTCATCAATCAAGCAAAGTACACCCGTGACTTGATAAAGAAGTTTGGCCTTGATGGAAAATCATCGATCAAATTCCTATGAGTACATCAATAAGGCTAGACAAAGACGAAGATGGAAAAAATGTCAAACAAACGAAGTATAGAGGAATGATTGGTTCACTACTATACCTCACTGCAAGCAGGCCGGACATTTCTTATGCTGTGGGAGTATGTGCAAGATTCCAAGCAAATCCAAAAGAAAGCCACCTCACCGCAACAAAGAAAATCATAAGATACTCGAAGGGCACAATCAATGTTGGATTGTGGTATCCTAAAGGTACAGATTTTATGCTAACTGGTTTTTCAGATGCGGATTTTGCAGGTTGTAAAATAGACAGAAAAAGCACCTCCGGAACGTGTCAATTCTTGGGAGGAAGGCTTGTTTCTTGGTTTAGCAAAAAGCAAAATTCCATCGCAACAAGTACCGCCGAGGCTGAATACATTGCTGCAGGAAGTTGTTGTGCTCAAATTTTGTGGATGAAGCAACAATTGAAGGATTATGCAGTGAATTGCGACGATGTTAGCATATTTTGTGACAATACAAGTGCAATCGCTATCACCCACAATCTAGTGCTTCACTCAAGAACCAAACATATCGACATACGACATCATTTCATAAGGGATCATGTTGAAAGAAAGATCTAAAAATCGAGTATATCCCTACGGAGAACCAAGTTGCAGATATTCTCACAAAGCCTTTATGCGAAACAAGATTTTCTACCTTAAGGCATGAGTTGGGAATGCTTGAAATGAGCTAAGTATCACTGGACTTAATCTCATGATTTAAATTGATACTTGTGCTCATATATTTTTTTTTATATACGTTTATATATTTATTCGAAATTGCATGAATAATTTAGTTCAATGTGTTTAGTATCTACTTATAAAATTGCATGTAAATTTTAACGTGAAAATATGTGCCATGCAATTCTTTTTCGAAAATCTGTGTTTATTTATTTTAATCGCATGATTATGTGTTTTAATTTTAGCTATAGCATAATATGGGACATTTTTGATTTAATTGTTTATATTAAAATTGCCGTACCAATATGTGTGATTATAATTTAATTGCTAAGTGTTTGAAATTAGTTAATCTTTTTAATTGGTATCTAAAATAATTTGCTAGTTTCTAAATATTATTTGATTATTTTGTTTTTTAGAAACTACGTGTTTTATGTTTTAATTTTTTGGTGTTTGATTGAAATGTGTCTAATTTTCTAAATCTATGATTATGTTGATTAGGAGTTTACCGTATGTATGCATGTTTATATATGGATGTGATTTAATTTCTTTAATATTCATATATGTTTCAGAATTTTGTGTAATTATATGTGAGATTTCGAAATTATGTGTATTAGTGTGTGATTATATTTATATGATACATCTAACGTTTTTTTTTTTTTTTGAGATAAAGAAGGAAGAGATCAGATTGGATTAAAAACCTCCACCCTTAAACCTCTACCCATAAA